AGTTTCATTATTTTTATTTATTGAATATACCTCATTAATGATATTTTAAAATTGTTAAACCAATTTGAGGAAAAGACATACCTTGTGATACAAACTTGCAGAGAACAAAAATTCAGTAAGATTTTATTACCACTCGAGGTGGATTCCTGTACATGGTGAGGAGACCTCCCTGGGAAGGTTCTGTATTTTCAGTTACCTCCTCTGAGATCTGAACATCCATCCACATGTTTGCAGTGCGTGGCGACCTGTAAAGGGGAGGAGAGGATCCTGGTGATTGAGTGTTGTCTGGGGCACTGCAACATATCACTTTGGCTTTGAATTCCTGTAGACGAGTGGCTTTGTGGTAGCTCCCCCAGGGTCAGTCAGCTGGTCCTGTTGGGCTCAGGTCAACTGAGTACCAGTGTTGGGCATTCTCAGTGGGTGTTGTGGACACTGTGTCTGATGCTGGTGTTTGGGTATATTGCTCTTAAAGCCCTGGTGTTGCTGCAGTGGCATTGTAGTGGCTCCCCTCATTGGGCCCATGGTTGGTTGGGTCAGTGGGCACTAAATCTTTCTCCTTTCATTATGGATCACCCACATCCTCAAAAAATAAAATAGTAAAAAAGTGGGTAATTGGTAAACGACCACATCTTGAAGACTCTGACCAGAAATCTTCAAACCATTCTGCACCTATACCTCATTTTCTGATCTTGAAATCCTTGTCTGACAAACCTTTAGGGCAAATGTCTTCCTTTTTTATTCAGAAGGGATTAGAGAGGCTACGTTCTGGGGACATCTTGGTGGAAACAGTACACCAAACCACAGTGAACTCCTCCTGAACTCAGAGGCCATTGGAGATATACCCATTGAGGTTTCTCCCCATGCTACTTTGAATTCCTCACGAGGAGTTATTGTTCAGAGGGATTTGAAGAATATCCCAGAGTCGGAGATCCTTGCTGGTTTCTCCAGCCATGGAGTTACTGCAGCGTGACGTACCTCTACTCATAAAGAAGGAATTTTGCTGCCTACCAATGTTCATATTCTGATGTTTTCATCATTACATCCACCTGCCACTGTAAGTTACAGCCATATATTCCCAACCCTCTCAGGTGTCTCCATTGTCAGCGGTTCGGTCATTCGAAGACATCTTGTCATGATTCTGTGACGTATGCTCGTTGTGGTGGCAAAGACCACGACACTTATGAGTGTGAACTAGACCTTCACTGTGTTAATTGTAGTGATTCCCACCCCTCTTACTATAGATCTTGCCCTAAGTGGGTGGAGGAGAAAGAGGTACATTGTTTAAACATGATTAACAACGTTTCTTATCTACTGGCTCGAAAGTTATTGTCCCCGACTCCATCATGGACATATGCTGCTGCACTCCATTCCACTGCTACAGTGGTTGTGCAGACAGAGCTTTCCGTGACTCCATCAGAATCTTTTTCATGTCATGTGAAATGTTTTTTGCCCTCTGTTGATAAACAAGTTGACAAGTTCATGCCTTCTCCTATCTCTGTCCTCACCATTCTTTCCAGTGACTACCCGAGTCCACCTCCTTCAGCCCGAGCTTTCGGTGTCTGCTCGAGTCCATCTTCTTTGGCCCCCCGAGATGCAGAATGATTATTCGTTCATGTTCTCAGTTGCTGGAATCTAAGTCTAATAACAGAGATCTGCCACCTCGACCAAGGGCAGGATCCATGGAGGTCAACAGACCTCCTTCTAGCAAAGAAAAATGGTGTGGTCATAAACAGAAGGGTTCTCCACCCAGTTCTCCTCCACCTAAGTAAAAATGACCATTTTGATACAGTGGAACTGTCAAGGTTTCCTTTCTAATTTGGAAGACATTAAGGCCTTGATTGATATCTATCATCCTGTGTGTCTTTCCTTTTGCCAAATGGCATGAAGCTAAGCCATATATGGAATTGAAGAGAGAAAGGTTGTGAATCAAGAGCATACGCTCTATGGAACAACCCCTCCCATCAATATCAGCACCACCCCAGAGGGGATTGTTGTCCATTAAAGTCTCCCAGGATTAAAAAGTGAGAGGGCAACTGTTCAATGAGAGCATCAAGGACTAATTGATCATAAGCTCCTCCAGAAGACAGGTAGAGACAAACAGCGATGGTACGACCCAAGAAAACATGGATGGCTACAGCCTTCAAGGGTGTATCGAGTGGTACAGACAAGGTGGGCATGACCTGGTCAACCAGTAGCACCACCCCTCCATGCACTCGCCCATCACACAACCTGTCATTCTGGTATAAAGAAAATTGCCAAAAGGTGACAGTACCGGCAGGTTTCAGGAATGTTTCTTGTCAATGACACCATCCAATGTCAGGACTAAACCCTTAGAAAACACATGTCTAAAATCGTGCTGTCACTTAGAGTCATAACGATGGCATGACAGTAAAATGTGGGCTATTGTGACTTGAGTGTCACAAAGACCACACTTTGGTGGATCAGTCCCAGATAAAAGAAAACAATGAGTTAAAAACTGTGACCAATGCGTAGCCCAGCAGGACAACTTCCTCCTTCCAATCCTTATGAAAACAAGATGGCCAAAGAACAACAGAAGGTTTGATCTGGAAAAGCTTGTTATGATGTTGCTAACTTCAAGTCGAAACCAACTTGTCATCTCAGTATGAAACTGAAAGTTGTTTGTGTAAATAACTACCAGTCAACTTATTACGAAACTGAAAGTTGTTTGTGTAAAAATTTTAAAATACAATCAAATTGGACAGTGTCACCATCAAATTTACACAGCTTTTAGATTCATAGTGGGTTAACTAGTAGGTTATTTACACGAACAGCTTTCAGTTTCATAATGGGTTGACTAGTTGGTTATTTACATAAACAACTTTCAGATTCATAATGCTTTGAATATAGGTTCTTGAAAAACCAGTTTTAAATTTTTATTACATTGGATACACTATTTTGTGGTTGCATATTTTAGTAATGAATGATAGCACACTTTAACTAATGCTCTTTTACTTTCTGTTTCTTGTAGTATGTTAAACAATAACTGCATGTTGTAGATATATGTTAGTGATTCTATAGAATAGGGGTGATCAGAATATGTTTTATCCACAACATTTTCCTCTCTTTGCAGGATAAAGAGTTAAAAGACACAAAAGAAACTATATTGATGATGGAACAACAAGTAGAGTATGTATATGTAATTAACCCTACAAACTTATAAAATACAGAATGTTTATCAGTTCAAATGGAACTATTATTGAAAACATAATATCATACTTGGATTTGTTTATGTCAGTAATTTCCTGTTATTTAGTTTAACAAGAAAAATAATCAAAAGGTGTCTCTGTGTTGCTTAAGTTTTTAATGAAGTTTATTCGTTTAGAATTTTTCTGGAAATTGTTATTGATATTATTCTCATTTGAAAAATGGTTGAATATAAAATTATTGCTAATCTTATTATTTTTACTTTTTTAAGTCTTATAAACAAAATTTAGTCCTCATTTAGAATCTAGAGTGACTTTCTTTCTGGTTCTCCTAATTCAACTTAGTAAACTTCAAGAACAAATTCGAGGAAAAGACAGGGAAATTCGAAGTCTACAGCGGGATTTAGAAATTACAGAGAAGAAGGCAAAAGATACCGAGAAGATACAAAATTTAGCAGTCCAAGAAAATCGTCGACTACAAGATGACTTGGCAACTATGACTAAAGAATACCAGGTTAGGATACCAAATTATACCATTGTTCATTAACCCTTTTCTCTCCGAGGTGAACAGAATGTCAGTTGTTTGATAGAAAAATATTTTTGGTGTATTTTATTTATAAATGAAAAAATATTCTACTATTAGGTTATTAACACAAACAGCTCTCGATTCTGTAATAAATTGAATAGTTTTAAATTGTTATTACTTTGAATACATTATTTTCAGGTTTAACTGATGAGAAGAATAGTAGCACATTTTAATTGATCTGAAAACTTGGGAAGAATATAAGGACAAAATTTCATTTTCTTCTCCAAACCGAATCTGGCTATTTCTTACTGTTTTTAGGAACACTTAAGTCAAGAAGTCACTTCAACTATTGTTACACTAGTCCCTCATTTTGGTGATGTAGCTGATGTTGAGCACATCTAAATGAAATGAATATTTCTTGAGTTGTGAGAATTATTAGTTTTTCATGATCTCTGAGACATTCTATATCAAAGCATCAAGAATTATGAAATCTTCATGATATAATTATTTATTGTCCAGATTATTAATAATCTTTTTCTGTAATAAAAAAATGAACAACCTAACTGTAGTATCATTACAGCTTTTTTTTTTCTTACACTTTACTTTTGTTTTTAGTCCCTGAAGAAGATTAGCAAACTAACCAAAAATGCTCAAGCTTCCGAGTCTTTTGAAATTCATTTGAATTTTTTTCGTGAACCTTACTGTTAACTCTTTGACATAACTTTCTAAACATAGTGGGAACTTGATATTGACACTTCTAGTGCTACAGCAGATGTAACAGGTACTGAACAGTGTCTCTGTGAATACCATGGTTTTGGTTATGAATAGTATCATGTACTTAATGTGGATATTTTTAAAAATACACCAATGCAAAGTGGTGAAGTGCAAGCCTAAGAAACACAAATAAGATTACCAACAACAACTTGTATGAGATGCTATTAATTACAAATATCTAAATTTATACTTTTTTATAGGGCTTATTGTTTATTGTTAAGTAGGACTTACACAGACTTGTGTGATTATGATAGATCAGGTTTGGGGGGATTACAGTCATCTTTATCTTTATCAGGCTATATCACAAGAGTTACAATATGCAGTGGATGAACAGCATAGGCTGAAGACAGAGGTGCAGGAATATGTCACTGAAGTTGCTCGTGTCGAGGAAATTCTAAACATAAAGGTAAGTCTGTTAAAATAAGGGTTTCTATGCCACTGAAATGTGGAAACAAGAAATCACAACTGTCTCTAAATGTTTTAAATTTTCTTTGGATCCCAATAGGAACAAGCTATACATAAGTACTACATATAGATTGGGAAGTCTAATCAGAATCAACAGAAAGGAATAGTTGTTGAGTAGAGTAGTTACTTCTTAAAACCTTTATGTACCTATGTGCAAAGAAAATATGTTGGACAACTGACCTGAAACTTTTCCAACTTATACTCAGGTTTCATGGATAACACAATAGTTGTTACAGAACTGTTAAGTACACAATTGAACATTAGCCCTGATATGTTTATTATTAGACCTAATTAATCAGTTCTGAGGATTAATGAGCATAGTTCTCCAATGTACTTTCTTCCTAACTCCTAGCATCAACTTTTGTAATTCAAACTTCTCATCTCCAATCCATTTTCTAACATCGTCAAGCCAAGTGATCTCTGCCTGCCTCTCACTTTCTTTCTTTGACTTTACTCATCAGTTTCTCTGCCAATCTTCTTTCAGATCTAATTATATCTCAAAAGTGGACACATCTTATGCTTCATACATTTCATTAGCAGTTTATGCAGCCTAAAACAAAAACCATTAATTGTGAAGTTTAGTTTAACAGAAAAATAAAGAATCACTTTCATTGAGGTACTATGTAAACTTCTTTTAAAGATTAAATAGGTGATAAATTAGAATGTAAAACTAAAAATATTATTTGTAATAATGGACTTCAACTTTAAAATAGTATCAGTAGAATAGATAACGATGTAAATGTTTATTGAAGACATAAGCCCTGGAAATATGTTTCTGTTAATTAAACCATATTAATATTTTACCATATACCATTGGACTAATCTATAATAATAAAAGGGTGTGTGATCCTTATAGCTTCAAGAGGAAAGAACCTAGAAACCTGAAATTTTGTATCCATACTAAGTGTACCCTGAGGGTGTGAACCTGGGTATTATTATTTATCCATGTGCATTCACATCTTTCTAATGAGGCAAGCTAGCGAAAACCACATAGAAAAGAAGTGGTTCCTTATATTACAAATATAAATCACAGACAGACAGATACACTCTTTTTATTATAGATGTATAGCCTGTCAAAAATGATGAGACAAGTACTACCACCTCATACTATACCCAGTCGTATGTCAGTTAGATTAAAAACCTCTAATATATAGAAGTGCAATGCATTTTGGTAACAATGCATTCCAACAATGGCTTTTATATCATGTTGCTTAGCAACAAAAGTATAACCTAATATTGTTAGTTTATGTACTGAAATTATAAAATGAAATGTATAAACAACAAAACTGGACAAATATTTGATTTCTTAATTTAGAATCTCCATTGAGGTTTGTTTTTTATTAAAAATGTTGGTGAAAAAAAAAGAAAATACAGTAATTCAAAAATGATTTAAGTTTAAAATTGGATTGATATTTTTACTTTTGTGATAAATTTTATGCACTTGGCTCTAGGTTAGTTATCTCACACTATGTCTTTAGGCTTATTTATTAATTTCTATAAACCATACCAACATTTGCTACAATTACAAGGTTTCACAGCCCCCCCTTGCACCCCGTCACTGAAATCGAAAAGTGGCATATTGTAATGTATGCCAAAATTAAAACAGAAAAACTGTGATTCATTCACATTAACCAAAAGAAGCTTCGAGATGAAGACAATGTTCACCTGCGGGTTGCTAAAATAAGTTCAGAATACACACACACTGACATAGTCATCTAAAATATATCAACCTAACAATCCAAGTTAAGCCAGGCACTTTCACTAGTGGCATCAATATTAGCCTTATAAATTATAAAAAAAATAACAAATAGTCATCAATGATTTAATATGATGTAACCATTTCATTTTACTAAAACATTCCAAATGGCTAGAAAATATCAAGTAAATGACTTACAGAGATGAGAATTGGTGGCCATTTGGCAGATTGTCACCATTTTTATTGTCAAACTGGTCATTGGCCAGCTATCTAATTCATTCCAAACCACTGTGCGTGTTTAGGGGGGGGGGGGTATGCTTGTGCTGAGGACAGAAACAAATTACTAGTATTAATAGGCTCAATCTGAGGTTGTCTTCCCTTCTTTGATGTATACTAAACCAAAATTGATAGGTGAGGCTCCTTTTAACTAGCTAATTCATGAACAGTCAACCAGTCACAAAACAATTTTGATCTCTTCAGAACTTTTTGAATTCATTAAACTGCAATGGCAGACAATTATAAAGGTTCAGCATAGATGTAAGCTTTAAATCTTTTGTAATTCATCTTAATGGTGTGCACTTTTTGCCCATTTGTTTAAGTTTACATAGATGTTTTACTTTAATATAACATTATGTTTTGTGTGTTAGATCATTTAAATGAATCTAAATTAGAGATAAACATGACCTGATGAAAGATGGGGGGAGCAACTCAACATTGTTTTCAATAAATAAGGATTTTTTAGTACAAATGAAAATATATTATAAATTTATTAATTGTTACAGATTCTGAAATTAGTCCCAATCTCATAAGTTATGTTTACACATCTTATAAGTTATTATCATTTAGCATACAATGTTAAGTTAAAAAGCTTATTGTTAAAAAATCTGAAAATAATGTTTTATGTCAGCTAACTTTTATGACCTACTTAAATGCAAGTCAGAGGTCCTGTTCAAATAATTTATAAAATAAAATAAAAATTACAATAAAGTTTTATCTTACTTATATAATGCATTATATGCCATTACATTATTATACCCTTTTATCTGCCATAACATTGTCATACCCTTTTATCTGCCATAACATTATCATACCCTTTTATCTGCCATAACATTGTCATACCCTTTTATCTGCCATAACATTATCATACCCTTTTATCAGCCATAACATTGTCATACCCTTTTATCTGCCATAACATTACCATACCCTTTTATCAGCCATAACATTATCATACCCTTTTATCAGCCATAACAGTATCATACCCTTTTATCTGCCATTACATAATCATGCCCTTTTATCGACCATTACATTATCATGCCCTTTTATCTGCCATTACATTATCATGCCCTTTTATCTGCCATTACATTATCATGCCCTTTTATCTGCCATTACATTATCATGCCCTTTTATCTACCATTACATTATCATGCCCTTTTATCTGCCATTACATTAAAATGGAATATATATGTACAAATAAACTTATGCAGAAAGAATTATACAGGATCAAATGAGCTTTTCTAATTCTGAGAAGTCATAAAACATACACGATAAAAATTATCAAGTCTGCTTTTCACATTCTGTAATGCCTTCCAACAGAACATTAGTTCAAATATGAGGAAACACTCGTACAGACTGCTTTTTTAATGATACTGTTAAATATGATGACAAGAGAAAAAAACTGTAGCAGACTAGAATATTAGCTGTGTAGCTGAGCCAAAGTCAAGTTTAAACTATTAACTGTAAAACCAAGACAAGTCCAATTTAAACTAATAATTGTAAAGAAAAGGCAAAGCCTAATACAGGGTTAATATTCACATTACTTACTGCAAGGATTATCAGCAAATATTGGACTTTTGTAATTTGAACTCATGGTCCAGTGATCAAAATTACAAATCAGTTGACATAAAAACTGGTAATTTCATGAAATACTGAAGCAATAATTGTACTAATCAGTTTACACCATAGCAAATTACTGATAAATCATTTACAAACTGAGATTGGTAGAAACAGAATATCATGCATCTTCAAACATAAACATATGTGTATCCCACTAGATAATTTTTTTTTTAATTCTAAACCAAATTGATGCATGCTAGAATTTGTATGCATAGTGGCAACCATTTCTGCAATCAAGTTTGATTGATAAAAGGGCATGATAATGTAATGGCTGATAAAAGGACGTGATACTGTAATGGCTGATAAAAGGGCATGATACTGTAATGGCTGATAATAGGGCATGATACTATAATGGCTGATAAAAGGGCATGATAATGTAATGGCTGATAAAAGGGCATGATAATGTAATGGCTGATAAAAGGGCATGATAATGTAATGGCTGATAAAAGAGCATGATAATGTAATGGCTCATAAAAGGGCATGATACTGTAATGGCTCATAAAAGGGCATGATAATGTAATGGCAGATAAAAGGGCATGATAATGTTATGGCAGATAAAAGGGCATGACACTGTAATGGCTGATAATAGGGCATGATACTATAATGGCAGATAAAAGGGTATGACAATGTAATGGCAAATAAAAGGGCATGAAATTAATGGTAATAATTATTCAAAAGTTAAACAAACACACAATATAAATCTTGCTGAGCTGCATATATAGCAATAACTAACGATTAACAAAAGTACTTTGGAATACATAGTTATGGAATTAGGTAAACGGACATAAGGTATTTTGTGTTTTATTGAAAGAAGAATAAAACAAGTGTTGTTTTTCATCAAGTACATTTAGCTAATTTCTTCCTTAATTTTGTTCCAACACATTAATTTTGAAATGCAAATTGTATGATAATGAACTTGCAGGAACAACAGAGAATGGAGCTTTTGGAACAGTACAATAATCTCAGCCTAGAAAACACTTCTCTAGAGAGTCAGACACAAAACTTGGCCTCACAGAATTCCACTTCTCAGCTAGAACTTATGGCTAAGGAAGCAGAGCTAAACCACAGCAGACAAATGATATCTGTCCTGGAAGCAGAAGTTCAAGAAGTAATAATTCTTTTTTTTTCTTATAGAATGTTAATCTGTAAAAATTAGACATAGAATGGAGATGTGGAAGGATTATGTTAACTTTTGTCAACCTTTAACCAAGGAAGAACTGCTTTAAAAAATCTGTGTTTCATTACTCATTAAACATATTTATATACTTATTTTGTTCGTACACTTGTTTATATTATGCAAGTTTGAAATGACTAGGTTTAACAACAGATTTATTTAATCTGATATTCATCATGCAGTTTTTAGCTATAGCACCTGACTAAGTCAATTCTTTCCTCAAGGCAAAACTGAACCATTGAATTAAACACATTATAGGAAATAAACCTGTAGCATTCTTCCACATATTTTTTAAAAGAATACTTCACAGATGAAAATTTATTGAATAAAAAGTTATATTTATTTGATTTTATATATAATTTCTAAAAACATAACAAAAAAAAATAGTATGATAATTTTTGTTTTTTTTTCAGCATGCTCTAAACATGAATTTCTTTAATTTTTTTTCTGATTATAAAAATGGGACTCGTAGCCCTCTAGGAGGAATATAGAAGTAGTTTTGAACAAAACAGCACAAATTTGAACCTGGTAACTTCAATACAAGTAAGACCTATCTAAAACCTGATGGTTAGAGCACTTGACTGACAATGTGTAAGTTGCGGGTTTGATTCTTGTCACTGAATATGTTCGCCCTCTTACCTGTGGGGCATTATAATGTGACAGTCAGTCCTGCTTTGCTTTGTAAAAATGTAACTCAACTAGACAATCACTTTTAAATTATAGATGCCTATTACAGATAGCCCTTGAGTAGCTTTGCACAAAATTCAATAAACAAGAAAAAACAATACAAATGTAGTTTTATCTATTATAGCTAATCACTGTGTCTCAACTTCTGTTGTCATAGTGTGATGTCATTGGCTATAACTCTAAAAATGTAATGTTTTTTCATGGAACAAGATGAGGTAGAAAATTGTTAGGCTTAGGTAGATCATTTTGCACTGAACTTTATCAAGTTTTGTTTTGTGAACAAAATCGCTGTTTGTTAGGCTGTATTTACTTTAGGCTTTATCAGCCTAAGTGAGTGCTTGAATGAAAAAAGAAAAAATATATAAATAAATATAAAAATGGTTTAAAACATATTACATATATTAACTGAAACTTCCTGATTAATAATTTAAAAACAATTGGCTTCACTGTAATTTGGTATGGAAAAGTTATTTTTATTGCATGCCAGAGGTCATAAACACAATGAAAATGAGTGTGGTGTTTTTCAAATCAAAACAAAGATAAGGTATAAGTTTTATAGAATAAAAAATGTATGGGAGAAGATAAAGGCATAAAATCAGTATTTGAAGTCTACAAGAAAGATAAGCAATTTTAATTGTTTTTTTAAAAAACATATCACAATGATATGTAGACTTCAAACAGATATCACGTATACAAACAGATATCACATATACAAACAGATATTATGTACACAAACAGATATCACGTATACAAACAGATATCATGTACACAAACAGATATCACGTATACAGATATCACATATACAAACAGATATCATGTACATAAACAGATATCACTTATACAAACAGATATCAGGTATACAACAGATATCACGTATAAATACAGATATCACGTATACAAACAGATATCACGTATACAAACAGATGTCATGTATACAAACAAGATATCACGTATACAAACAGATATCATGTATACAAACAAGATATTTTATTCTGCAGAATTTCCATAATCTTTAGATAGTTCGTCTCAGATTTTCAAACTATTTTATCAAGTAGTTTTTTGCAATGCAATAAAACAAACCATACAAAAGCCGTGTTCATTTCTTTCCAGGTATCTTTATCTATATAGTGGCCAGATTGTAATATTCCTATTACTTTTTCATTAAATAAAAAATTTCTACATTGTTGCTTATGTATAGGGTAAAACTAGATTTTAATGCCAAAATTCAAAAAACAAAAAGAAACATTCTTTAAGAGCTAACCTCTTGTCGCTTAAAAATAGTAAAGACATAGGTAGACTTGAAAATTACTGGAATATAGGAAATATCTTGACAGTGTTTTAGTCCAATGAGTTACCTCAACACTTGGAAATTAATTAAGTTTCTACATTCAAATCAATAACTCACAAAGACTGGTGGGAGAAGAAATCTGAGTTTCATGACTGACATGTATTATATTCAAAGTGATCGGGTAAGCCAGTATATAAAATACCTCACATATGCTAAAAAAATAATAAGTTTGACCATCAGAGGTAGCGTGGATAAAATATTTAACTTCTGTAGCATGCAGTTTGGTTATCTTACAAATACATGCAGTACATATGCCTAGATGGTGGACCTAAGTTTCAACATGTGAAACTCAAAGCTATATATTTCAGATTGACTTTTACAAAAATTGGATGACAATGTAAATGCCACAATAAAAATTTGATAATTAATATGAAAAATAAAACAAATCTGTTAGTAGTATTTGTTTTGTCAACAAAAGTTAACTATGTCAAATAGATTAATGTGAAACTTTCTATAGGTTTTGCTCATTTAAAATGGAATATTAGAATTATAAACCAATGTAGAAGGATATATGGTATGTTTCTATGTGTATAGAGATACAGTAGTCCTTTTTTAAGTGTATTGTTACGACAGCGGGGGTCACGTGATACTAGTAACACGTCATATTCTCGAATGTTCGTGAATGCTCGAGTGTTTACTAGATATACTGTATTCATGTATATAAGACCGTCAAGAGTGACGGCAATGATGGAAGGTAATTGAA